TATATATATATANATATATATATATATATATATATAATAATAACACTAAAAAGACATAACAATCCTAATCCTACTCCCAAAGTAGAAGCCATATCCATCAGGCCAATCAAATCTCATTGCTTAGGACTTTTACCATCACTTTAGAAGGAAAACACCAGTAATGGATGACTTATTTTATAATGCCTTCACACACACACAGTCCCCATCGTGCTTTGGGGCTTTTGATATGCGGAGGTCTTACAAGACATAACCCTCATTTGTTCTCTAGCTTGAGGGCATTATACCACCAACGGATGACTCGTTGCGTAGTGTCATACACATATATTGGGGGGCGTGACCCTCCCATGTGACTCACATCCTAATTCCCGTCTTATCATGGGAAGTCAGGGAAAAATCTCAACTGTCGGCACAACTTTCTTATCATATCACATTATACTACCAATAGATGACCCATTGCATAGTGCCTCATATCACATTCTATTCATATCATATTACACTACCAATGGATGACCCATTGCATAGTGCTTCACACATTTCTTATCATATAATCTTACACTACCAATGGATGGCCCATTGCCTAGTGCTTCACATATTTCTTATCATATCATTTTACACTACCAATAGATAACCCTTTGCATAGTGCTTCACATATTTCTTATCATATCAATTTACACTACCAATAGATGACCCATTGCATAGTATTACACACATTCTTACCATATCAGAGTATGTGCATATCATATCATAACAACACATATCTTACTACATGCATCCATATCATAGCAGAGCATACTTCATTTTATAACAGAGCATATTTTCATTTCATAACAAAATATTCCTCATTATCATGCATTTATTTCATAATAGAGCCTGCTGTCCTGCACACATATCATAACAGAGCATGTCATACTATATGTATTCATATCATAACTGAGCATGTCTTACTATATGCATTCATATCATAATAGAGCATATCTCATTATTATGCATTCATATCATAACTGAGTATGTCTTACTATATGCATTCGTATCATAACAGAACATATCCCATTATCATGCGTTCATATCATAACTGAGCATGTCTTATTACATGCATTTATATTATAACTGAGCATGTCATATTGCATGCATTCATATCATAATAGAGCATATCTCATTATCATGCATTCATATCATAATGGAGCATGTCTTACTACATGCATTCATATCATATCAAAGCATATCTCATTATCATACATTCATATCATAACTGAGAATGTCTTACTACATGCATTCATATCATAACTGAGCATGTCTTACTACATGCATTTGTATCATAACAGAGCATATCACATTATCATGCATTCATATAATAATTGAGCATATCTCATTATCATGCATTCATATCATTACTGAGCATGTCTTACTATATGCATTCACATCACAACAGAGCATATCTCATTATCATGCATTCATATCATAATTGATACAGGTTCATATGAAACATCAACATGTCTAAAGCATGTTGTGCATATAATCATATCA